GTGAGGGCGGGGCTAGCTAGGGGTGCCCCGCCCACCCGCCTGCAGGGAGGGGCTGTACCTCGAGGGCGGGCATGGCCAGCAGCACATGCGCAGACTGTGCCACATCAGCCGCGTGCAGGCTGTTGTGATAGGCCACGTCCTTGTGGTAGTGACCTTCCAGCGTCAGCAGGTAGGTGGCGAGCGCATCCACTGGGATCTGGAATGTCTTGAGCAGGTCCCGCTCCTGGTCCATCACAGGCCTTAGTCCTTGAGGCTCCAGCACACATGCTCCTATTTGTTACTACTTCTGAACTCCTACACAGCCTTCAAAGCCCTCTGCTGCAGGATGCCCTCCCTCGCTCTCTCCCGAACTCCTCCTCTAGTCCACTCCCCATCCCAGGACTGTTCTCTCCAGAGAACAGTACTCTTTTTCAGAGCCAGGCCTGGAACGGAGGATTGTAGACAATGTACTGTGCAACCTAGTGAACTCCTACTCACCCTTCAATACCCTGCTCAAAATATCCCATTCAAGAGCTTCAGGGAAGCTTTGAAGAATGAATGACTCTGAGGTATTGGGTAGGAAGAGCAGAAGGAAACCCCTGGGGTATTAGAAGACAAGGGCACGGGCAGTACCTGCAAGATGCTGAAGAGGATGGCCGTAAGGGGCCGGTTCCCACTTAGCTCGGCCACCCTGAACACGTCAAGGCCCCACTTGCTGGTGTCTTCCAGCTCCTGAAACTTCACAGTCAGAGGCTGGAGCAGCACTTCTAAGACGCCAGAGCCCCACCCTCCCGAGTGCCGGGCCCACCTTTGCCAGCTGCCCCTCCTGGTCCGTCTGTACCCCAAAGCGTGGGACAGTGGCTGAAGACAGGCCGGGGCCGGGGAGCCCGTGGAGACTGGGGATCTCGGACAGGGGCCGTGGGGACAGCTCCACATCCGGGCGCTGGTCTGCGGGAAGGGGCTCACTAGGGTCTCCGCCCTGGACCCAGCCCAGCCCCCACCACCACCCTGATCCATGCTGGAGCCCCAGCCCCGCCCTCGCTTACCTCACGGCTGCTTTCAGCGACCCCTTCTGCAGGTTCTCCCAAGCTAGAGACCCAAGCCTCTGGTGCCCTCCACTGGCGAACTCCTACTCTTACTTCAGAGCCCTGGCTGTCACGACCTGTCCACCCAGAAGTAGCCCCTGTTCCTCCCTAGCTCACCCAGGAAGGTCTGGGAGATGTACTCGGACACCTGGTTCCCCGAGCGGCTGGTTTCCGAAAGGTGGGTCAGCTCTCGGTTCAGCATGCGCTTGAACTGCAGGCAAGGAGGGCTGGTGAGGGCCGGGCTCTGAGGGGGGGGGG